GTGAGTGTCGGTTATCTGGGGGCGCTAAACTTGATGCTGCTTCACTTCCTGGTACCCTTCTAAACCAGGGCCTCCTGCCCAGTCCATGAATGAATATGTGGTTGGACATTGCCTGAACCAACCTGACGTGGCTGGCATATATATTTTTATGGCTTGTAAATATATTTGTTGTTGGTATATACATTTGTGTGTATGTGTGTATATCTATATATTCTCCCAAATATTTAAGGGTAAAATATTTGCTCTGTGGGTCTTTACCCCTAAGTACTCAGTGTAGATTTCTTAAGATAGAGTTATTCTCTAATATAACCACATCATCAGTCTGAGGGGGCTTCAAACAGTTTGTAGAGAAATGGAATTTAAAATAATGGAAGATGTCCACAGACCTTTCTGAGGTCTCTCCCCACTCCTATAGCGCGATCAGCTCAGTAAATTTAACACTGATGCAATCCTGTAACCTGCCATTTGTACGAAGGGGCTTCAAAATATTCATGGGAAAATTCCATGATCTTTAAGTTACATTTGCCCGTGAACTTTCTGAAGTCCCCTTGCATTTCAACTTTTGTCATTTGACGCAGTGGAATTGATAACATTCCCCCTGCCAGTACAGGCTTTAGTCTATGGTCAGGAGTTGCATTTAATTTGGAATGCTTCTGTAGCCATTGTCTTTTATGACACTGACATAAAACCCCTTTCCTCCACTCCCCCTTTTCATAGAACATTCCCCATGTTTGGTTTGCCACATGGCTCCGTGTGATTAGTTTCAGGTTCTGCTTTCTAAACTGGAGTACTGAAGAGGCCTCGCTGGGTCCTTCCTGCTAGGGTGGCACACCTGAAAACGCATCGTGTCCATCTGTCCTCGGTGGTGATGTCAGTTATGATCAGCAGTCTAGGTGGTTGAGTCTCTCCACTGTATAATTAATATATTTTTTCCTTCCTTGCTACTAACATAAGTCTGGGGGAAGCATTTTATGACCATGCAAATACCCTACTCCTCATTAAAATTTCCTCCTAGATCTAGCACGTAGATGATGATTCTTGTCTAATCTTTACTATAGGGGTTGCAGAATGGCGATTCTCCAATGTTGGCATTTCTTCCATGCTTACCAGTGGGCTCTTGGCATACTACTGCCAAGCAAGGGTCCTCTCTTTCTCCTTAATTAGTTAATTAATTATCCATAGATACTCATAACTTCCTGTTTTCCCAATGCTTTGTAGTTCATTACTTATTTTGGTGCTCAAATTATCCAAGGTTTGACCCATAGCAGCCCCTCTGAGCTGGCTTTTGAGTCCTTGTGGCATGTCTCCACCAGATTTGTTAGCATTTCATCACTTTCTAACTTCAATAGACATCCTAGGCACGTACCGTATATACTTGTGTATAAGCCGAGTTTCCCCAGCACATTTCTAATGCAGTTTTGGTGGTAAAATCAGGTACCTTGGCTGATATTTGGGTCAGCTCATACTCGAGTATATACGGTATCTACCTTCTTCAGCTCAGGGTCATAATTTTGAAGAGCTCTTAAGTAGTTATGCTCACAGAGCCCGTTTGGGGTACTTATGGCTAGCAATCACTTTGTAAAAAGGTCCCATGTGACTTTGTTGCTTGGTTTTCTGTGTGTCCATTCTGTAGTGTTCTGGGTTTGGCTTTCCTGGATTTCAGGAAATGACATGGGAAGTCCCTCCCGCTTCAGTTCTTTGACATTTCTCTTTATGATTTTTTACTGACTGGACGGTGAGATAGGCATCTTGTTACATTTTCATGAAAAGTAAAAGTCAATGGGTTGTTTGGTGAAATGGGATGTTTGATGAGCAAAGTGCATGCCTTTGAAGGAAGGAACAACGTGTGCTAGTTGGCCCTTTTGTTTCAACTGGACCTTTGATTCTAAGCTGTGCTCTGGATAGCTGAGGCTACAGGTAGAACCTTGGATAAGTAATTAGTTCTTTTCATCCAAGGTGGCTTATCAAGTCTGTAAAGGAAGAATCTATTTATGCCTCCTTTGAATTTCAGAATTTCAGGACAGATTTTCTTTCCAGAGTCAAATCCATCTTAAAATCTCAATGTTGAAAAATCTACCCAGAGGATTTAAAGCAGTGGTTCTCAACCTGTGGGTCGCGACCCCTTTGAGGGTCACACGACCCTTTCACAGGGGTCGCCTGCTTCATAACAGTAGAAAAATTACAGTGATCAAGTAGCAATGAAAATAATTTTATGGGCGGCGGGTCCCCACAGCATGAGTAACTGTATTAAAGGGTGACAGCATTAGGGAGGCTGAGAACCGCTGAGTTGAAGCATTGACTCTCACCCCTGGATGAACGCTGAGCTTACTAGGAGCTTTAAGTCTTCATGACTGGGTCTTAACCTACTGCAAATTTTCAGTAATTGGTTTAGGAGGTGGCCGGAAGATTTAGAGTACATTTTTTTTTCAAGTTTTAAAAATTTTATTGGAGGCTCTTACAGCTCTTATCAAAATCCATGTGTCACACACATCTGTACATATGTCATCATTATCCTTTTCAAAACATTTTCTTTCTACTTGAACCCCTGGCATCAATCAGCTGCTCATTTTTACCCCCTCCCTCCCCCCTCCCTCCCCCATGTCTCCTTGATAACTTATAAATGATTATTTTTTCCATGTCTTACACCGACCACGGTCCCATTTCACCCACTTTTCTGCAGTCCATCTCCCTGGAAGGGGGCCATTCTTTGATCATTGTAATCAGTTCCCCTTTACTGCCCCCCTGCCCTCCATGCTCCCCCAGCTGCCTCCTTACCCTCCTAGTATCGCTGCTCCCCCTGTTAGTCCTGAGGGGTTTATCTGCTCTGGATTCCCTGTGCTTTGAGCTCTTATCTGTACCCGTGTCCATGTTCTGGTCTAGCCAGATTTGTTAGATAGAACTGGGGTCATGGCAGTGGTGAGGGGGTGGCGGGGAGGAAGCATGAAAGAACTAGAGGAAGGTTGTGTGTTTCGTCAGAGCTGTACTGCACCCTGACTGGCTCTTCTGGAAGACGGAGAGTCTTTAAAGTTCTCCAGGGGATTTTACAGGGCCGCCAGGCTTGAGAACTAGCATTGCAATGGACACATAGCAGAAACCCTGGGACTCCATCCTTAATTGAGAAAGTGTGACTGGATTCAAGTCTCTTATGTTGAAAAAACCCCTCAGCTTGTTTTAGATCCCGGAATACTAGGGCGAGGATGGACTTTGGAGACTGTCTGGTCTAATGTAGGTATTCATGGGGGTATAAAATGAGTAAGTTGAAGACCCAAGAGGGATGAAGATGAAGCTTTCTACTCCCCCAGAAATTTACAGTCTCAGAAGCCCACCCTCTGTCCTTTCGGGTGGCAATGAGTCAGAATTGTGTAAGTGATAACATGACAGTTTTTTTTTTATTATAAATGGGCTGGTTCCTTCAAATCAAAGTGTCTAAGACTATAATCTACAGCCTTCCTGTGTGAGGATCATTAGGACATTTTGTGAAAATACAGATTCCTGTGCTTCACTCAGACTTACTGAATTTGGATCTGTATGTGGTGGGATGCAGGAAACTATAGTTTCCACAAGTGTTTCAAATGTTGCTTCTGAACACTATCATTTGAAAGCCACTACTCTGATTATATTATGTATGCTAATCAAGGAAAATCAGGTTATTTATCTTACACAGTTTATGGAAATGAGTAATGGATAGAGAAACACCTAAAACTGAATGCCAATGATAATTTTTTCAAGCTTTTTATTGTGATTTAGGTGGGTGTTTACTGATCAGATCATTGGCCAATGTTAATTTTTGATTTATCCAAAAGTAGGTCCTAGTATTTCTTTAGAGGAGGCTTTCAACTTGAGTAAAATCCCATGCCATTCTGATTATGTTAACATATTTGACTTTCCTTCTAGGAAAGATGTATGGAATGTGTATATTCTTGGAAAATTCAAGTATGTTAACTAACAGATAAAGCTGCACCATGAGGTTGAGACCTGGCTTCCTTAAGTGTAGTGCTAGTTGACTGCAGAAATGCAGACAGAGCCTTATCATCAGGTGGAGAACAGTGGTTGGCAATTCACCCATCATGTCACATGTTAGTGTCAATGTACATAAACTATGTGGCTGCAAACAAGATACATTTATTTTTGCATAGTTCTGGAGGCTGGAAGTCTGAAGGCAGAGTCTTGGCAGGACCATGGCTCTCCCAAGAGAAGGGGAGTAGCCTTACTTCTTTCAGCTTCTGGTAACCCCCGGCGTTCCTTGGCGTGTGGCTAACTCCAGTCTCTGCCTTCATCTTCACACAGCAGTTTTCCTTCTGTGTATCTCTGTTTCTCTCCCCCTTTCATATAAAAACACCAGTCATATTTGATGAAGGCCCACCCTATTCCATTATAAACTCATGTGAACATCACTGATTTTATCTACAAAGACAACTTTTAAAGACAGTCACACACAGGTACTAAAAGTTATAATGTGGACATTTCTTTGTTCAAGTCCTGACTGCCAATATCTGTGAGTGTGGTTGGCCCCCAAACACATATGGATACAAATCAATTCATAACACACATGTTCATTACCTTAGGTTCACTTAGGCTTATGATTTTATATATGTATATATATATTTTTCTTTGCATTCTTGTTATTGAAAGCTCAGTGTTTAAGCTTATAGTGATATAATCTGAAAGCATAAATACAGGCCATCTTCCCTGTTCCCCCTTCCTTGCTGAGCCTGGCTGAAGGCGTGTACTGCCTATTATGGGAACTAGCACAGGTTGGAATTACCTTAAATTGCCAAAGTTTTTTCACTCTCATGAAATGTTACTTGAACAGTTGACTCAATATGACCTTACATGAACCACCAGCAAATTGTCATTGTTGGATCGAGTTCTTTAAAACTAAACTCTTAGCATCGGTGTCAGATGATTCAATAACAAAGGAAGCACAGGTTTACCTGAGTTTACTGACTCACCTGCACTGCACAATGCCACCGCATCCGAGACTTTGCTTCTAGGGTTGGCTGCCATCTGGGTCTCTCCTCACCCCAAAGCACCATCTTAAAGACTCAAAGCTTCCCTTCAAATTTACACTCCCTGACAGCGGGGGACAGCCCAACAGGCAACATAGGCATGGGCCCACTTGTGCTTACTTACATGTGAACCTGTTCACTACAGACGACTAAGTAAGCACAAGGAAGCCTGTACTTACCTTTTTTATTCGGTAATCTGCTCCTGCTGAACCTCTTAACAAGAATAAAGAGGATGAACTAACAAACGAGGAGGAAGAGTGCATAAACAACCACAAGTGTCAAATGAGCCATCAAAAGCAATCGAGATGAGCATGAGGATAACTTTGACCTTGGATCCCCAGCTACCCCCTTTGGGGAAAAAACCCCACACTGCTCCCTAACTGCTAAGTAAATGCAGTATTGAATCAGACCTCACCTTCCATCTCCAAAGTATTGGTCAGTATCCTTAACACTTTTTCTTTGACATGGTAAATGGATGTGTTGACGGTTTCCTTGATGTTCCTTCTGAATTGGCTCTTAATTACGATGGGTCCTTACTTACCTGCCCCTAACGTGACCTTTACAAGTTTTAGGATTTCTGATGTGACCCTTTTTCCAGAACAGAACTGAAGTAGCAGACTTTACAAGTCGATCGCTGAGGATCAGAAAGAGAGCAATCATAATAGGCCGCCCCTTTATCTTAGAAATAATAGAACAACCGACGGATTCCTTCAGAGTGTGAGCGAGGTTCTCGCCAGTATCTTGGATCCCCCTGGCTCACTGTTTTAAGGACCATTTGGTCTCTGCCTGGGGGCACCATGCCAACCAGGAGAATGGTTACCGAGTTTGCCTCCAGACTCCCTGGGAATACATAAGACGTTGGCGAGGGTGCGGGTCTGTACAACACTCCAGGCAGCCACAATACAAACTCCAGCATGAGAAAGATGGGGAGGAACTTGCAGGGCTGGAGAAATATTGATGACACCACCCCCCGCCATCTAAATGTTCTCCTTTTGTGCAGTATGAAATGCTCCATGTCACCCCGCCCATGGGCCCACCAGACGTCATCAAGACGAGTCCCGTGGCGGATGCTGCTGGCTGGGTGGACGTGGACAGAGAAACCCTGCAGCACACGAGATACCCGAATGTGTTTGGGATTGGGGATTGCACCAACCTGCCTACATCAAAGACCGCGGCTGCCGTGGGTAAGAGGAAGAGCCAACTTTCTCCCCTTCCCAAACGAGTGGTACCCAAGGGACAGAGGTAACACACCCAGAAGCTGGGCACCCACAGCATTCTGTTAATCATGAAGA